TACACTTCTTGGGGGCGTATGAACACAGCAACTAAGTCACCCCTAAACCCAGAGAGCCCCACTACTCCTGTAAGGGAATGGACCTTAAGTTACCTAAGAATTTCTTAGAGCCCCCTTGCTCCTTTACTAAGGAATAGACCTTAAGTTAGGAGTTCTTGGTATGATTTGAGTTCAGTAGTTATGGGGGTGTTGGCTCTTTGGGAACACGTGCACCCTCGACCCCTCGATGCTCCTGAATTCTTGGAAGCCGAATCCAGGGGTTGACGTCGCCCCAACACCCTAAACCCTAAACCCTATCACCCTACAACCCTATGACCCTAAACCCTAAAGTTTCAGGAAAAAGGTTGAGGCTGTTTAGGGTGTAGGGTGGCCAGACCCCGAGGCGGCATGCTAATTCTTTCGCGCCCCGGCACTGCGGTCGCCGAAAGGAATTTGGGTTTCGGGTTTAGAGGTTTAGGGTTTAGGGAGCTTGGTGGATTTGGGACTTTGGGGGGTTTCAGGGAGTTTGGTGGATTTAGGGAGTTTGGGGGTTTAGGGAGTTTGGTGGATTTAGGGAGTTTGGGGGGGTTTAGGGAGTTTGGGGGGTTTCGGGAGTTTGGGGGGTTTGGAGTTTAGGGTTTGAGTTTTGGCATGAGGCTTTATAGAGTATCGGCTGGTTTGGAGTTCAGGGTTTGGAGTTTCGGGTTAAAACTGGGCTCATCGTGCGCCAAGGGGAGCAAACCCTAAACCCTAAACCCTAAACCCTAAACCCTAAACCCTAAACCCTAAACCCTAAACCCTAAACCCTAAACCCTAAACCCTAAACCCTAAACCCTAAACCCTAAACCCTAAACCCCTCTCGCAGGACTTCTGGTCCGTGGTCGTCTATGACGCCCAACACCGTTCTATGCTACAGACGGAGCAGGTCTCCCCAGGTGCGGTTAAAGTTTAGGGCCACAAAGCCCCAAACCCTAAGCCCTAAACCCTAAACCCTAAACCCTAAACCCTAAACGTCCAAAAGGCCGTACACCCTGAAGCCCCAGAAGCTTTCTGGACCATCACTCCCCGACCCTACGCCCCCAGCGCCCACATTCATGGCTCTGCATTGGGTTGATCACTGGGGACTGGGGCCCCGCACCCTAACGTTTTGGGGTTGAGGGTTTTTTGTCGCATAGGGCCCTAAACCTTAAATCCTAAACCCTAAACCTTAAACCCTAAACCCTAAACCCTACATATTACCCAGCCTGGAGGCCGGAATTCGGTTCGGCATCCAGACATCAAGTCGAATGCAGATGGCTCCATCACCCTCTGGTTTGCGCCCAGTGCACCTCCAGGGAAGCTTGGCCTCTTGTGGTGCTTTACTGGTTCACCTTTGGTTTAGGGTTTAGGGTTTAGGGTTTAGGGTTTAGGGTTTAGGGTTTAGGGTTTAGGGTTTAGGGTTTAGGGTTCAGGGTTTAGGGTTTAGGGCGCTTTACTGCAACTTTAGATCCTTTGCCTTTTGGGGTTGATTGGGTTTCTTAATAAGGCAGCTAAAAGTTGAGTTTTTTACTGCCCTCCTAAGTGCAGCCAAGTAGCCGTCGAATAAGTGCCCTTGGACCTTTTTTGCGGTGGTTAACCCCCAAACCTTAAACCCTAAGCCCTGGATAGTCAACCCCAGATAAACAGCAAGCCCTCTCAGTCCTAGAAGCCCCCAAACCGTGAAACCACAGAAACCCTAGAAGGCCCACAGGTTAACCTTTGCCTTCAGCTCCCCTCCGGGACCCGGCAAGCAAGGAAAGAGTCCAACTGGATCCAGACGCTACCCGAGAAGACCTGGCTCCTCAGCGGCTAGAAGGTTTGTTGCGGTCTAGGGTTTACGATTTAGAGTTTGCTTTCAAAGCCCTAACACCAAAGCCCTGAACCCTTAGACCTCTTGGGGTTTAAGGGGTTTTGGGCGTTTGAGGTTTACTTGGTTTACGGGCTTCTCAGCGTCTGGAAGGTTGTAGGGTTCAGGGGGGGTTCGGGTCTTCCTGCATTGGGCTTTATGGCTGCGGGGGTCCAGGTTTTGGGCGAAACAAGAGGCCCAACAGAGCATGCAGTCTCAATCCCCACAACCTGAAGCCGAAGCCCGGTCCCCCCACAAAGCCAAAGCAACTTGAAGAGCATCGAACCTGGCCGTGGCCCCTCCCCCCCCCCACGCCCAAAACAAAAGCACACAACAAGAAGTACAAGGCGACGAGGAAAACGGTACTACACGCAATCGCGAAAGTCACACGATTATTGCCAGGACTACTACGGATAGTAACAGCAATGATCGCAAAAACCATCAACATCTCACACAAGAGAACGTGCATAGCGCAATGTATCATCATCATCATCATCATCATCATCAGCATCATCATAGTAGTAGTAGTAGTAGTAGTAGTAGTAGTAGTAGTAGTAGTAGTAGTAGTAGTAGCAGTAGTAGTAGTAGTAGTAGTAGTAGTAGTAGTAGTAGTAGTAGTAGTAGTAGTAGCACTAGTAGTATTAGTAGTATTAGTAGTATTAGTAGTATTAGTAGTATTAGTAGTATTAGTAGTATTAGTAGTATTAGTAGTATTAGTAGTATTAGTAGTATTAGGAGTATTAGGAGTATTAGGAGTATTAGGAGTATTAGTGGTATTAGTAGTATTAGTAGTATTAGTAGTATTAGTAGTATTAGTAGTATTAGTAGTATTAGTAGTATTGGTAGTATTAGAAGTATTAGTAGTATTAGTAGTATTAGTAGTATTAGTAGTATTAGTAGTATTAGTAGTATTAGTAGTATTAGTAGTATTAGTAGTATTAGTAGTATCCGTCGTCGTCGTCGTCGTCGTCGCCATCGTCGTCGCAGCATCGTCGTCGTACTACTAGTTAGAATCATGTTCTCAACAAGAGCAGAGAGCAAACCTGCCACTAGCTCCAGGTTTGTCCTGCTTCGTCTCTACGGGCCTCTGGAGGCCTGGTTCGACAAGACCTGGCGGCCAGGAGACTCGGACCAAGCCCCCCCCCCCCCCCCCCCCCACCTCCACTTCTTGGTTCAAAGGGGGTTTATAGGGCCAAGTTTAGGGTGCAGGAAGTTTAGGGTCCAGAGTGCTGTCTGGTTCAAGGGCCTAGGAAGTTTAGGGGCTACCGTGCCCTCTGCGTTCTTTTGTGCGTCCCTTTTTGATAGACTTTTGGGAACTCTGCGAAACCTTGAGAAACCCCACGCGCCCATAAGGCCGCGAAATACATAAATAAAGACCTGTAGTCCAAGGCCCGAAAACCCGCCCGAAAACCCCAAACCCCTTAAGCCCCCCCATAAGTCTAAGGGTAATTCCACCGTCCCTTAGTAACGGGGTCCCTGCATAGACCCCTGATATACCCCATAACTCCACGAGCCCAGACTTCACAACCCCTTGAGGAAGGCCAGGCACTGTAGCCCTAAACCCTGAACCCTAAACCCTAAACTCAAGGGGCCATATAGCTAGCCTTAGGCTACACGGCTGCCGGGAAGCTGAGGAGAGCTAAAAGAGGAGGAAGCGGGCAGCCGGAAAAGGAAAGCGGAGACCCCGAAGCTGGGCTGTGTAGGGTTTAGGGTTTAGGGTTTAGGGTTTAGGGTCGAGGGTGGTTGTGCAGGGTTTAGGGTTCAGGACATAGGGCTTATGGGCTGTTTTGGGGGGGGTTTATGGGGTTTAGGGTTTAGGGTTGGGGGTTTAGGGTTTAGGGTTTAGGGCTAGCCCACAATGGCAGCCTCCAGGCCCATATTTGTGGTCCCTCCTTCAGTCCCTGCGGCTTCGAAGGCGGTGGGGTATGATGAGTCTTAGTTTTATGTAGGGTTTAGGGTTTAGGGTTTAGGGTTTCGGGTTTAGGGTTTAGGGTTTATCTGAGTATTTTCCCATGTGTTGTGATGAGTTTGCAACAAAGTTCTGTATCTTCGTCCCCTGCAAACCAAGCAAAAGTCATGAGCGAACTCCAGACCCACCGAGGTAGACGCACAAGGGCGTCAAGCGCAGGCGGTGCTGCTGCTGGCACTCTCTTTATTCTTTTGTGGCTATGGTAGCTCTTCAAATTCGGGGCCATGGGAAACCTTAAATTCAGCCCTGTGTCTAAAGAGCTACCTATATATGGAAAGTAGGGAGATGCGAAGGCGCAAAAAGGAAAAAAGGTGCGGGGTTTCGGTGCGAATCCCGGCGTGCGGCACACGGGCACCCCTCTCACCCCCCTCTCCCCACCCTAGTTCAGGGTTTTGGCTGTAGGGTTTTAGGGTCTAGATGCAGACAGGTGCCCTCTCAACTGCACAATTATCACGTAGGGTTCAGGGTCCCTACACCCCAAACCCTGAATAGCCCCTGATGGGTCCCATCTGTAATTGAACCCTAAAGGCTAACCCCGAAATACCGAAACCCCTAAAAGCCCTAAAGCCCTAAACTCCTTCACCCCAAAACCCTAAACCCCTAAAGCAAAAAAGCCCTATACTCTAAACCCCTTGACCCCCAAAACTCCAATCATCGCCCCAAAAAGGCCAAACCCTAAGCCCCTAAAGCCCTAAGCCCTTTCACCCCTAAAGCCCCTAAACTCTAAACCCTTCACCCCGTAAGAAGCCCCAAAGAATCGCCCAAAAGGCCTAACCTCTAAACCCCTCCCTAGAGCTCTAAAGCCCTAAACTCGAAACTGCAAAACCCCTGACCCCCAAAACCCCAAACCATCGCCCGAAAAGGCCCTAAACCCTAAACCCTAAACCCTTTTAGCACATTAGAATATTTTCCCCTACTGGCTTTGAGAGAATTCAAAAGAAGCTCAGAGAGTTTTAAGGGCCATCCCGGTCGCCCTGATCCCTAAACCCTAAACCCTAAACCCTAAACCCTCAACCCTCAACCCTCAACCCTCAACCCTAAACCCTAAACCCTAAACCCTAAACCCTAAACCCTAAACCCTAAACCCTAAACCCTAAACCCTAAACCCTAAACCCTAAACCCTAAACCCTAAACCCTAAACCCTAAACCCTAACCCTAAACCCTAAACCCGAAACGTCGCCTTGAAAGGCCTGGCCAGGGCGGCGGCGGAAAAAACTCGCGCCGAGGCGAAGCAGCAAGCTCGGAGGCTGCGGTGATTCGCTGGGGGGAAACCGTGAGGGTTTAGGGGTTAGGGCTTAGGGTTTATAGGGTTTATAGGCTTTATAGGCTTTATTGGCTTTATAGGGTTTATAGGGTTTATAGGATTTATAGGGTTTATCGGGTTTATAGGGTTTAGGGTGTTGGCCCTGCTTAGGCTTTAAGGCTTTAGAAGGTTGAGGGCTAGAAAAGCGTGATCAACCAAATAAGTTCGGGCCTAGGGGCATGGGTTGCGGCTTGCAGGGTTTTAGCTTGAGTTGAATGCAGGGTTTAGGGCTTCAGGGTTTAGGGGGGTTTAGGGTTTAGGGTTTAGGGTTTAGGGTTTAGGGTATAGGGCTTCAGGGCTTTAGTACAGAGTTTGGGGCTTGCAGGGCTGAGGGGTTGCAGATGGGTGTAGGGGTTTCAGGGGGTGCAAGATGCTACAGTAGGAGTGCGTTTAGAGAACTTGTACAGAGTCTCTGTCCAGAGTCGTGGGCGAAAGTTTTGGATGCAACATTTTGTTGTGTGGGGGTTCGGTTTGGTCGGGGTTTGGCTTTGCGGGGCTTTGGGGGCTTTTGGGGCATCTGTTGGCTGTTTGGGGGGACTTTGTGGGCCTGTGGCAGTTTGGGGGTTGGTATTGTTGCATTCTTGTGGTGGTTGGGGCAGCTTTGGGCATGTGGTGGTTGCTGTTTGCTGGCAGAGTCGGGTGGCGACGTGTTGTTTAAGCTTGTTTTTTGCTGATGTTTGGGAGCTTTTCTGCATGCTTGGGCAGCTCGAGAGGCCGTGTGGGAGTATTCTCGGCGTTGATGAAAGAAGGGGCACGGAAACACACGGGGTTTAGAATAATAGGGACGCCTAATATAGACCCCCAAATAGTAGGATCCAGGATCCCCTTCTAAAAAGGACCCCAATAAGGCAACCCCCTCATAATTATCATAAACCCCCCATACTACTCAGCTTTTTTCCAAGCCCTCAACAACTTTTCGGCTCCAAGGGGGTGCTCCATGCGGGACCTCCCGAGGCATTGTCGACAAGTTTACTTCAGCACAGCGTTTGGACCCTTTCTTGGAGACAGGGCTTGATTAGGATTTTGATTAATGTGATTTCCCTTATCACTTTGTGTAGTATGTGTCGTGTGTTTCAACAAAAAAGCAAAAAAAACCAAAGCCAAAACTCTCTAACCCCCAAAACCCTAAACCCCAAAGATTTTGTGGGTTAAAGGGGTTGAGGATTTAGGTTTCAGGGATGAGGGCTACAGAGAAAACCGCAGTTCCGCAGGCTGCAAAAGAAGGTGGCGAAGGCTTTGCTGCCGCTGGCGCTGCTGCTGAGCATCCTGCGTCTCGGTAATATAGGGGTCGGAGAAGAATCTCTGTAGGATTCCCTTACGGTCCCTATGTTATATAAATAAATCCATTATAATGACCCCACGAAACCCTATTCTAGTTATTATGGCCTCCTATAGTAGTGGCTTTGGAGGTTTCTGAGGAATCATGCCATGAACCCTCAACGGTCCTTCAAATTTAGGGTGTAAGGTTTTGGTGACATTCTTTCACGGGCGAGCATACGCTCTCAACCCTAAAACCCTTAAGTTTTAGGGTTTCAGGATCTTAAGGCGGAGGTTCTCCTGTCCCTGGGCTTTGAGCCTGGGCCTCAGTCCAGTTTGCTTGTCCGAGTAGCTGGGCCCAGGACATGATCGGTATTGCTCCTCTTTTGGGGATTTGGGCTTCTTTTTCTTTTCACCCGCTAGTTCACCTCCCCAAGAAGGGCACCCGAAAAACACGGGCTTTCATGGCTACTACGGAGCGTTTGGCCGTGTACAGAAGATTTGTGGGGCGCGTGTTGCATTCCATCGGACCAAAAATTGAGCTAGGGCAAGGGGGCCTTGGCGGCTTAAGGTGAAAGTTGGTTTCTTTGCATATGTGTTGTGGTACTTCTTCATGGGTGCCGTAGTACAGGACTACCCATGTGCTGGCCACGCTGCTCTAATCTCAGGATCTGCTACGTGGTGCTTCACCTGTGGCCGGACATCCCGACATGTGCCATGTAGAGCTCTTTTCGGCTTTAGGGTTAGGGTTTAGGGTTTAGGGTTTAGGGTTTAGGGTTTAGGGTTTAGGGTTTAGGGGTTAGGGTTAGGGTTTAGGGTTTCCTCTGCCCAACCGAACTGAATCCTAAACCTACCCAAAGACCCCAAACCCCCAAAAACCTTACACCCTGTAAACCCTCAACCCAGTAAACCCGGAAAACCCTAAACCTTCAAACCCTAGGCCGGTCCAAAAAACGTAAACCCTGCAAACCCTCTAAACACTAGGAGCCAGAGCAGGCCCTTAGTTACTTTTTTTAGGGTTTAGGTTCCCTTATGAGCTCCTTCACACCCTAAACCCTAAACCCTAAACCCTAAACCCTAAACCCTAAACCCTAAACCCTAAACCCTAAACCCTAAACCCTAAACCCTAAACCCTAAACCCTAAACCCCTTGTTATTCCTAGGTTGCTCTTGGATCTAGAACCCTAAGATGACAAGACAGCAGCCTTGCATGCCACATGCATCCCTTGAGAAGTCGCAGCCTTCTTGCGAGCTCAGGGTGTGCCAGCTTCCATTGTGGGTAAAGGGTTTACGGCTGCCCGAAACCCTACCCTTAACCCTTGACCCTTAAACCCAAACCCTAATTAATTGGTTTTAGGGGCGTGCAGGGTTCATAGGGCATAAAGGGGTTTTGGGTTTTTGTGGCTTAGAGCGATGCATCTAGGTGGGGTTCGACGGGCTTCTGCGAGCTTAGGCGGGTTGGGGTTTAGGAACGGTTAGAAGTTGTGGGCCTTCGGAAGCTGCCAAAGCAACACAAGGACCTAAATGAATTTTGTGTTTAAACCCGAAACCTTAAACCCAAAACCCAAAACCCTAACCCTAAACCCTAAACCCTAAACCCTAAACACTAAACACTAAACCCTAAACCCTAAACCCTAAACACCTCAGCTCTCTCAGTTATCGCCACTTTGACAGGAGCTCAAGCTCTCGCCCTGCCGCTGCCGGGAGCGGCGCGAGCTGGCAGATGTCGTAGATGCCCAGTGAGCCAAAGAAGTTGTTGATTGGTGAGGACCCCCAGGGGGTTTAGGGTTTAGGGTTTAGGGTTTAGGGCTACAGGGGTTTAGGGTGTAGCCTTCATGGTTGTGCTGCATTTCGCAGAGGCTCCTGGGGTCCCCTTGTGTTCCGGGGTAGAAGGAGGGACCCTAGCAGGGGCCCTTAGTCATATTCCCCTATATGAACCTTATATATACCTTATATGTACCTTATATAGTCTTAGTTTTATTACTCTATATGAACCTTATACATATACCTTCTATATACCTTATATAGTCTTAGTTTTATTACTCTATATGAACCTTATGTATACCTTATATATACCTTATATAGTCTTAGTTTTATTACTCTATATGAACCTTATGTATACCTTATATAGTCCCTGTATACCTAAGTGGCCCCTAAATAACCCCCCAAGCAACCCCTAAGGTCCCTTACAAGGGCCCCTCCTTTAGTGCCTAAACTGTGGAAGGGTGGACGCCTTCTCGTGGTCTTTCACAGCGAAGGGACTGGTGTTCAAGTACACCTGGCTGTGACAAGACGCAATCCTAGCTAGGCCCTTGGGTTATCGCAGAGGCTGAAGTGGATGCTTGTTGGGAACAGCTGCCTTAAACCCTGAACCCTAGCCCCCAACCCCGAAACCCTAAACCCTAAACCCTAAACCCGAGTTTTTTTGATGGTTTCAAGGGCCAAGCCTGAATGCTGCATGTCTATGCCAAAGGCCACAGTGCCCGCTCTGGCAGTCTTGGCTCCAAACGCCCTCGCCTAGGATTGGGTTTAGGGTTGAGGGTTTTGGGTTTAGGGTTTAGGGTGTAGGGTTTAGGGTTCAGGGTTTGGGGTTTAGGGAACCCTAAGCAGAAATCATCACAGTTAGGGGTGTTGAGTTTTGGGGTTTAGGAGTTGAGGGTTTAGAAGGTTGGACCCTAAACCCTAACCTAAACCCTAAACCCTAAACCCCTTTTCGGGATCACTGTGCTGTTTTTTGCATTTGGTGGGCCGGGTTCCGGAAGCTACTCCCAGTCGTGGCTTCCCAGCAGCTTATGGGTTTCGGGTCTGCGGTTGAGGGTTTAGGGTTTAGGGTTTAGGGTTTCGAGTTTAGGTTTAGGGTTTAGGGTTCAGGGGTCTAGGGTTCAGGGCCTTAGGGGTTTAGGGTTCAGGGGTTAGGCTAGGGTTGAGGCTGGGCTTTGGGCTTTTTTGGGTTGGCTTTAGCCTCTTCGGGAATTTTAGGAGACTTTAGGGCTTTGAGGGAGTCGTTTGAGGGTTTTGGGCTTCGGCGAGGCAGCCACAAGGAATCAAGGATGACGTCGGTGACGGAGCGTGGGCATCTCTGGGTAGAGTGAGTGGGCTTGCCGCTTCTGGAGCCCTAAAGCCCCCAAGGCCCCTAAACTTTATGGGTTTGGGCTGTAGGGTTTAGGGTTGAGGGCTTAGGCTTAGGGTTTAGGGTTTAGGGTTTAGGGTCTAGGGTTTAGGGTTTGGGCTTTAGGGTTTAGGGCCTCTCAGGCGCCACCCAACATACCACCTGAGATGCCTCAGAGCCGTCACACGAGGACCAAATGTTTGATGGTCAGCTCCCTTAGTTGGGGAAGATCCTTTATGTGAATTAGAAGGGATGCAGCATAACGTCCCTAAGTTGGGGTCCACTTTTTGGGGTTTGCCTCAGCAGAAGGGGATGTAGTATGAACAGGTCTTCAAAACAGAAACCCACAAGCTACCCTAAACTTGAAACCGTAAACCCTAAACCCAAAAGTTAAAGGCAGCTGACCAGATGCGCATCG